AGAAAATTGTATATGTAATAATTATTGCTAAATTGCAATAAACAAAAAATTCCAAAAACACGTATCCTCTATTTTGATCCATATTTTTAGTATACAAAGCTGCAAAAAAATCGTACTGCATTTAGGGTGAAAAATTGAAAAAAAAGCGCATTTTTTAAATATATTATTTAAATAAATAATTTCTCCCGAAATTTTTGACACTAACTAAATTCCTGACTAAAAACTACACAATTTAAAAAAAAATTCACCTTCCTACACCCTCTAGTTTCCGAGATATTAAGGAAAATGTGTTTTCAACTCCGAACTTTGAGGGCTATTTTCACCCCCTCAACATGGATGTCCGCAAATATAAAAAAATACGTGTCAAATGATTTTTAAAAAGCTACCACATATGTCAATTTCATTAAAATCGGCGTGTAACACCTTGGCGATGTCCCTTGTAAGTCACGTTCGATCCTTGAAATTAGCAGATCTCTTGCGATGAAGCGTCTATTCATGCACCACAGAGGGTCGTAAATTTACTCGAGGGTTGCATCCTCATCGACATAAGTTGTTTTTCAAACTTTCGTTAGTTTCTCTGAGTCCCACGCTTTCCCTAAACACATGTGCACGATATCGTCTTGACCCTTGGCGGAGCGCCTCCACCTCTACTCGCTTGAGGGTGGACCAGGACCAGGAGAGGGATCCCAACACCGGACGGGAGGGACGCCACCACCATTGGACCAGGGAGGACAGGGATGATCCAGAGGGAGGACCCAAAATTCCAGCGAAGAGAGGAACGACCGAAATTGCGAGAAGACTTCTTTCCGCCAAGTCAGAACAATATCGTACGAGCAGATAGTCAGTACAAATTTTCCTTGCATCGCCCCTGTTGAAACTTAGAAAATAAACAGAAGTTTAACGTAAAAGACTTATACATTTATCGCGCTTCGAGCAGAACGCTTTAGCGTTCCACGGGCACCTTACCCACGTCGCGAAAATCCCTAAAGTCCCTATCCCCGCAAGGCATATACGCAACAAATCTATGATTCTCTTGGAATATAAATTGAGGAAGTAGTTCTATCGAGTGAGAGATATTGTTGGTTTTTTTTTTTTAGTTGTATTTGCTTTAGTTAATTAAGTTGGAGGTGTAGAAAAGGAGGAAGGGAGGTAGGATTTGACCAAAAAAAAGTGCGGAAGGTAAAGCAAGTTTTAAAGTGGTATAGGTAGGATAGAATATTTCCCCCGTATGCCCACGTGGTGCGCGGGGAACTGGTTTTGAAGTTTTGGCGATTAATAAACTTTTATAAAGAAGGAAGAAAGTGCGTGCAATAAGTTGAGTAAGAGGTCAGGTGAAGTATTTGGAAAGATGTGCAATTGATATATGGCAAAAGTAAACCAAAGGGAAATGAGTGTTACAAGTGGTATGGAGGATATGGACAGGGGAAAGTGTGTAATGGATAAAGAAATGGAAAAGGATGTGGGCAAAGGAAAATCCCTTGTGGGGAAAGTAGAGAATTGGGATGTGGAGTTCTTGAAAGAAGATGATGAGGAAGTATTGAAGTCGCTAGAAGTAAACGAGGTGTTAAGCAAGTGGTAAAGGGAAAGGAGTTATTAATGAAGATAATGAAGTAAAGGAGGCAATGAGGAAGGGAGAAGAAACGTGGAAGGTAGTGTGGAATGGAGTAGATAGAAAGAGAGGTAGAGATCTAGAGGAAGAAGAGGAAGAGTTGAGGAAGAAAGAGAAAAAGGAAGATGAAGAAGAAACAGAGAGTGAAAGTTTTGAAAGTATAGAGGAAGTAGAGAAAGCAGGAATGACGCCGGTGCCTACGCAGGAATGCGAGGTATTAGAGGGGAAAGGGTGCGAGGCATTAGAGGGGAAAGGGAAAAAAAAAGAAGAAGAAATGGAGGTGGAGGAGGGAAATGAAGGAGTAAAGGAAGTAGTTACTGAGAACAAAGTAAGGGTTAGGGATATAAGGCAGTTGAACAATAAAGAAAAATATAAATATATTGCAGAGGTTTAAGGAAAGAACAGGGGGGTCAAAAAATGGGCAGGAACGAAAGGAAGGAGAGGAAAGAGGAGGTAGAAATGGAGAAAGATTTTGTCATAGGTACGGTGATAATAACACTGAGTGGTAATAACACTGAGTTTGTAGTGGGGTTGTTTTTGAAGAGTAGGCCAAATTTTGCCAAATTTAAAGGAGCAAACCTCATGAAAATATATAGATTCGTGTAGGGAACTGGTATGAGAATAGAGTCAATCAAGATGGTTGGCTTTTGTAAAGCGGAAGTGACATTTCGGAGGAGGGAAGATACGAATAAAATGTTGCAGGACTACGAAAGAAGTGAGGATATCGTAGGGGTATTTTTACCAATAAGGAAGAGGTTCAGAAAGGGTGTGATTAGAGACTGGGTGAGGACGATGGAAGAATTGCAAGAGGAGGCAACGGCAGGTCAAGGGGAATATGTGTCGGAGAGATTGGGAAGGAGATCTAGAGAGGAAAGGAGAGATGGAAAAGGAGTAGTTGGGGAGCCACTTCTGATAATATTTAGAGGAGATACATTGCCAGTATCTTTGCTAATTGGACAGGGCCATGTGGGGGTAAGGATATGGCCATATGTTGAACGAGTAAAGCAATGTTATAGATGCTGGCGTTTTGGACATATCATGAAGTTTTGCAAGGGGAGGAGGAGCTTATGTGGAAAGTGTGGCAAAGATTTTCATGGTAAATGTGAAGAGGAGGCCAAATGTGTTAATTGTAAAGGAAACCATGCAGCGGATGAGGACAGAAAGTGTTGGATGTTCCAAAAAGAGTATGCCATAAAGAAGGTTATGGCATATAGAAATGTTGAATTTGAGACTGCAAAAAAGGTGATTGAAAGAACTGCAGGTATAGAAAGTGTAAGAGGGAAGAAGGATGAGAGGAATGCAGATGAGGGAAGTAGAGAATTTCCTGGGCTGCAGCAAAAAAAGATTGTGGATGCCTGGGAAAAGAGAGAAGTCCCGATAGGAGGAGAAATGGAGAGGATTAGAAAAGGAATTGGATTAGATAGTAAAAAAGTGCTACATAGTAGTGTTGTGGGGGGAGTAAAGAAGAGGTATGGGGGCAAGAGGACTGAGGAAGGTGAAGGAGGTTGGTCGAAGGTAGTACTGTTCAGAGTACGGAAGAAAACTAGCGGGACGGGAACGGGGCTAGAGGGACGAAAAGAGCATCGCAGTGGTCGGATTGTAATGTTGCCGCCTATTGTCACACGCATTTTCGGCAATAACACGCTATTTGTCGAGGCGCACACAAACACTAATCGGTCGCGTGACGCGGACAGTGGGTCAGATATATGTAGAACAAGCGAGACAGAACGAGCGATACGTTGAGCAGCATTCCATTGTCATAGTGTCCAAAAGTTTTACGCATCGCGTAAGAGGAAAAAGATAGAGTTTTTTAACATATAGTAGCAATATCTGTTTCTATACCTATGTAAAACCACACCATTACGGATGAACGGTGGGAGCTACGCGTGAGTAGAAAAGTGGGGATTAGGTGGTCCTAGCGGCCTACCCTCTTTGCCCCGTTCCCGTCCCGCTAGTTTTCTTCCGTACTCTGGACAGTAGGTGGAGTTCGGCCAAAACTAATAGATGGAAAGAAAAAGCAAGAGGAAGAAAGAAGA